GTAGTAGTAGTAGTAGTAGTAGTAATAATAAAACAGTAGTAGTAGTAGTAGTAGTAGTAGTAGTAGTAGTAGTAGTAGTAGTAGTAGTAGTAGTAGTAGTAGTAGTAGTAGTAGTAGTAGTAGTAGTCGTAGTCGTAAGTAGTAGCAGTAGTAATAGCAGGGGGAGCATGGTGTAGTAGTGTAAAGGTGTATTTTTGAAAAGTACACGGAGCATTCGACATCTAACAGACTTTACTTCTTGTAGCACCAACAGTAATGGCACTGATTTTCACACATACACGCATAGGAGCATGCATACATAGGAGGAAAATAATAAGGTGCAACTCAGTGCCTCAATTGCATTTTAAAATCCCTCCTTATAAACTGTACTTACATACGACTGTCTGTCTACTTTACTAAGTTCATGCCTTATTATAGAACAGGCCAAGCAAGGCTAATTGAACCTCGGATCTATAAACATCTAAACCTGGGCCCTGCGACCTCTCAAACCCCAAGCCCTTAAACTATATGTGTGTATATATATATATATACACACACACATGTAATACACATGGGACTGTGTATTTAGACATGCTGCTTTCAAGCCTTAAGTCTATTTGGGCCCGGTCAAGAACGCCTGGTTTCTTCTGCCGAGTAGCTGGGGTCAAAGCAGAGCCCGCCAGCAGCCAGACACACGTCATCGATTTTCGGGGAGCCTTGGAGCAGTGGGCCAGTTGTATGATCGAACACAGTCACAGGTACTTCATATTGCATATGGAATGGAATTTCACAGGGCCTAAACCTGTCTAATGTCCAGCAAGCAGCCGGTGCCTAGGAAGCATGGAGCCAACAAAATCTTTACACCCCAGCCCGCTGGAGAAACGGTGGATGATTACTTCCTGGAAGTGAGCAACAGGTTTGACACCAAGATGCACTTCTTATCGCAAGTGCTGGAACTGATGCAGGCATCTGCAGGTCACTACTTGATAGACCCCTACTATTTCGAACGCTGTGATTTGTTATGGTCTGGCTACACCCCAGAGGAAGTCCTCAGATTATCCAGAGCATCACCATACCCACCATGTGAAGCTCAGCTACGAACATGGTGCAAGCACCACTACCCTGTGCTAGAGGATGGGCTTTGGAAGGCCAAGCAGCTTTGCCAGCCACGAGTCTGCCCGGATTTCAACAGCATGGACTGATGACGATGCACGGGTGCTTTATCAACCTTGCAAGGTTGCAGGTGTTTACAGTAAGCATTGCAGAGGCCGGGAGTGAAAGGCTCGAATATGTAGACACATCTGCAATACCATTCTTTGTGACTTCTTTTATCTGCCTCGTGTCCCTTACACAGCCTCGGGCTCCGGTTTCCACTGTTGAAATGGTCCGGGATGTGCTGGGGTGCCAATGTGCTGATTTTTTGGGGTAAGGGGGCTTTGGGGACCTTAGCAGCCGTACACCCCCGTACCCGACCGTACGCCGTCCAAAGGCGTATTTACCCAACCCAAAGGCGTATTTATGCGATAGGGTTTGGTCGGCCGTACGGGGCCGTACGGGGCCGTACGGGGCCGTACGGGCCGCACCCCCCAAAACTGTACTGGTAGACTCGGGCAACCGGAAAACTTTAGGAATGTCCTAGGAAACCGCGAAAAACCTCTCCGAATTCCTTACCGCCCCTACAAAACCCCGAGAAACCTATCCAAATGCAAATTCCCGACCGCCCCAACACTTGATTGCAGAGTTTGCAGAAGCCCTAGAAATTGTACTAATTCCCTAGAGCCCCAACACCCACCTAGGGATCTCTTACAGACTCCGAAGACCGTATAATGACCTTGTCATAGTCTCTAGCCCCCCTAAAACAGGCCCACTCCGGATGTGTGTTGCTAGGTGTAACTTCAGAGCCTCTCCCGAGCCCCGCCAATTCGAGCTGTGCGACGGAGCCACAGGATGTGCTTAGGCCTGGGCAGCGAGCTGGCTTTGCAAGGTTTATGTGTTGGATGTTAAGTTTATATCAATATTGCTTTAGGCAGTTTATTGTTGTTTTTGTTATGGGGTTGCCCGGGTTGTGCACATGTGGTGTATGCCAGTCTCACTGCTGTGGACGATTCTAGTATGCTCGAGTGCTCGAGGAAGACATGTGCCGAAAGGCAAGACTGCAATCCTGGAAACCTAGCTAACACCCTCCAGAAGCTTGCCCTGGCCTTCACGCCTGTGTGATGTTCGGTGTGGCAGTCTGTGTGCCCAAGCACTGTAGCTTGGTTTCCGGTGCCTCGTAGGGCAGATCGCTACCGAGCTTTCTAGCATGTCTGGTGATCTGGAGCCCCTAGCAGCCAAGCTTGGCTTGATGTCCTGCAAGGATGAAGATTTGCCGGATCTTCTTGAGATGAAGGACCGTGTGCACATTCCCGGGCTACATAAACTAGAGTGACTCGCTCGTTTGGTTGTTCTAGGATTTCTCCTATTCGTAGAACAGCTACAACAACTACAACAACAACTACTACTACTACTACTACGACGACGACTACTACTACACTACCTACTCCTCCTGCCACTAAGGTTCCGAAAGCTCGCAAAACTCTTGAAACTGAAACCCTTAATCGAGCAATGTGCTTAGTAAGGTCTTTCGAGTGCATTTACGGTTCAATTTCAGGAGCTGGAAGAGCAGCTCCAGCAACAGTTGGCTGCAGCAGAAGCCGAAGACCAAGGTCGCCTGAAGAGGGCTGCCAACACGCCACATTCGGCTAAGGGAGCAGGGCAAACCCCTTCCTCGGCTGTCCCACGTGCTCGGAAGGCAGCACATTTAAAGACCCCGACCAGTGCCCTGAAGCCTACAAACCTCATGGGTGTGCTGGAGTATGTTGGCACGGCAGATGATGACGAGGATGTTGTCATGACCCAGGCTGACCCCTACACGATGACTTTGGAGGCGATCTGATTGCGACCCCAAACCCTATAAACCCTAAACCCTAAACCCTATAAACCCTAAACCCTCAACCCTATAAACCCTAAATCCTCAACCCGCAGTACGAGGAGCTACCGCCGCAGAAGCTTGAGGACCTGGTGCTCACCCCAGCGAAAGGCCCGGCGAGTTCCTCCCCCACGAAAGGCCCTGCGAGTTCCATTTCGGCGAAAGGCCCGGCGAGTTCCATTTCGGCGAAAGGCCCGGCGAGTTCCATTCTCAAGGGTGTCGAGACGACCCCATCGATCCTCAAGGGGGCCGAGGACAACTCCCCGGCACCACTGCTGCTGCGAGCAGACACCGGGTCGGATATATCGTCTGCCTCGGAAGCAGACTCTGCAATGATGTCGATGGTGCAGATCTTGCAGACTCAGCTGGCTGAGCAATCCAAGCAGAATGCACGACTGCAGAGCCTGCTGGAACAGCAGGCTGGCGAGTTGGCCAAGCTTCGGGCCGATCAGAGCAGTGCTGCGAACTCTGCTGAGGAAGCTGGGGACGCTGCAAGCGAAAACTCCGGTATGACCTTTGAGGCCGCGAGGCAGCGGGTTCGCCGACTGGTGAAGCTACGAGCCGACGGTTCGTGTGCTGTGCCGCAGCATGTGGTTGAGCAGTGGAACAAGCAAGGCAAAGCCCGCGAGCAGCTGATCCGTGTTTTCATGGAGCAAGGCTGCGACAAGGACCCCACACCTCCACCTTAGCTGATAACCCTATGATATATCCCTGGTGGGTCTATGGTTTTCGTGCAGGGGCTTCAAGGGCTTAGGCAATTTTGGGTTACAGGGTCTATAGGGCTTATAGTGGTTGCTGGTCTTCCTTTGAAGCGCCAGGAAAGCTTCCTGAGGAAGCTGACGATTCAGAACGAGCGGGAGAAGGAACTCAGCATCGTTGTGGAAGGAGACTTCTATACGGAGTCACAGTTGCGAGAAGAGAAGCAGCTTTCTTCGCTCCTTGCATTAACTTAAACTAAACTAATGCACCTCCTAGCCCCGACTATCCAATCTTGTCGTCCAGTGCATTAAGATACACTAAACCCGCTAAACCAATGAACACCCTAACCCCTACCTATCCAACGCTATGCTGTTTCTTCAGGGACCGGATCGCCGAGATCAAGAACTTCGCGAAGACTCACCCCAACATGATGCGGCATCTCGCCCTACACTTCGATTGGACACCGTATGTTAAGTCCTTTCAAGCTTCCTGCCAATGTGCAATGCCCCAAGCCCTTATAAACCCGAAAACTAAACCCTATAAGCCCTAAACCCCATGTTTCCTAGCCGAACCTGAGGAGGGATGTGTACAACCCGAACATGATCAAGTACTTCTACGAGGAGCGAGCCCATGCCACAATGCGAGCATCCGCCTTGCTGCGGTCCAGGGACGAAACGTCCATGGACATGCCCGTCGAGCAGGGCGAGGATGGATCTGTTGCGGTCGGCCAGGATGTAAACCTGGGTGATCTGGGTGATGCTTCGATGGTAGGTACGAGTGCTGCTGGAGACCTTGATGAATAGCATGCTAGCTGTTGGTGTTTTGTCTATGTCTTCAGCTGCACTATGCTTCAGCTCATCTTTTCTTGCAAGGCTCCGGCTCTGGGTCTACGGTTTCGGGTGGTGCTGGTGAAGCGGACATACAGCTTCCGAGCCTGGAGGGTGGCAAAAAGGCATCCTCTGTGATCAATCAGTACATGCAAGCGGCCCTCCAGAGATCCACTAAGCTCGGCGATGCATTGGGTAAGCTGCATGCTGTTCCCCCATCGGATCAAACTGATGCCATGAAGAAGCCCTTCCTCTGCAAAACTCCCCAACTAATTCCAGGGTTTAGGGGAGGGTTTAGGGTTTGGGGAAGGGTTTAGGGTTTGGGGGGAGGGTTTAGGGTTTGGGGGGAGGGTTTAGGGGTTAGGGGGGAGGGTTTAGGTTTAGGGGGGATTTGGGGGGAGGGTTTAGGGGTTACGGAGGGTTTAGGGGTTAGGGGGAGGGTTTAGGGTTTAGGGGGGAGGGTTTTTGGGGTTTGGGGGGGGGGGTTATATAGGGACCCGAAAACCTTCTGTCCCAAGCTCCTATTTTCAACCCCAAGATCCGAATCCCTAAAACCCAGCAACTTCAAGTTCCAACCCTGAGTAAGAATTAAGACCTCGGTGATTCATACCCCAAACCCTCGGAAGCCCAGAAAGCTCCAATTGTCTAGCCCAAACTCGTATCTCAAACACAAAGTCCCAACCCCAAGTAAGAATTAGAAGACCTCGATCATTCATACCCGAAATTCCTGTCCCTTCCGATTTGCCGAGGTTGCTGACCAAGATGGAATCCACGCACATCGCCTTGGAGGCATGCCAGGATGCAATGCAGGAGATCTATTGTGCCGGAGCCGTGGAGGGATATTCGCAAACGCCCTCCAGTAGCACTAGTGTTATGGCAAAGCTGTCAAAGGTATATAGGGTTTATAGGGCGGGATGGGTTAGGGTTTAGGGGTATATAGGCTTTATAGGGTTGTTTCTGGCTAAGGCAAGACGATGAGCTCGTGAAGCAGTACAAGACCCTTCGCAAACTGCTGCTTAGCTAGACCTCCGAAGCAATCCTGCTTGTGTGTGGCCGATGCCTGAAACCCTATAAACCCTAAACCCCTAAACCCTATAAACCCTGAAACCCGATAACTTAGGGCGATGGAATCTTCGGCCTTCGAGACCAGATCGAAAGCTGCTATGCCGAAACGCCGTGCTGCTGCTGATGCCAAGCCGAAAGCCGCACCCAAAAAGGCTTCATCCCCTGCTGGACCCGCTGCCAAACCAAAGGCCGAGGCACCTGCTGGTCGCAAGACCGGCAAGCAGTCTGCCTGAGGACCATTTGCAGGCTTTTTTGGAGTCGTCCGGATTTTGATGTGTGCCGGGCGGGGTTGAAACCCAAGAGGGCTCTGATACTTTAGATCTTAAGGTGCACCTGCATCCTACTAACTTCAAAACTTCATACACTGTTGTCTACAACCCAGAAGCCCAGCATGAGCTTTTAAGGCTACGCCTTGGAAAGTCTTCTTATGAAGACTGAAAGTCGCACCTGTCATCGCGACACGATCCTGCAGTGCTGAGCTGCTCTGTGTGTGCAAAAGAAAACAAGTCCTCTATGGTTTAGCTTATCTGACTCGCATTGTTGGCAATTGGCAACGGCACAGCCCGATAGTGTTTCGGATGATTCGAGAATGAAAACATCCCCAGGCGCAGGTCCGGGACCTACGGCACGAGAACTGATCGATGGCCTTGCAAATGGAGCTACCTGGCCTCATGAGTCCAAAAACCCGAAGCCGATAGCCCTGAACCCTTTGTATATGTAGCCCTGATCTCGACAACTCCAAACCTCAATCTTCTATATGTCCCCTAAAACGAACAACCCTAACCCCCCCTAAAGCGCCGAAAGAAGCACGACACATCTAAAACCGAGAACCACAAACCAGAACCCTAAAGAACCCTAAAGGCCTATAAAGCCGATACCCCCCAACCTAAACCCTAGGAAACCCCGTAGCCGAAAAGCCCAAAGCCTGAGCCACGGCAAATCCTTAAGCCGATAACCCCAAACCTGAACACGAGGAAGCCCTATAACAGCTCATAGCCCAAAACCTGCATGAACCCTGGAAAACACCAAAGCCGACAACACCAAACCTGAACCGCTGAGAGCCCCAAACCTGAACCTAGGAAAACCTATCTCAGCTGAGAGCCCTACAACCCTAGGGAGCCCGAAAGACGATAATACCAAACCTGATCCCTCCGCAAGGCGATAACCCCGAACCTGAACACGAGGAAGCCTTAGAACAGCTGAGAGCCCCAAACCTGAGCCCATTTAATAAGTGCCCTGGCAAAGTGAATAGGTGTGTTTGGGACGGTTTATAGAACATATGTATACAATATCAATTGTGTGTAAGCTTCACTGAAACCGAAAGCCACAGTCTTTGTGGTCTTACGAAACCTGGTATAGAGAATCCTGCAAAATCATAGCAACAATTCTAAAGCCCCAATGCAACACCCTCAAACCGTAATGCGATTTGTTTGCAGGCTCCGGCTGCACGCATCGTCCGCCTGGCCAAAGCCATCGAAGAGGAGCAGCCAGGCATCCTTGGCGGCATCAGGCTGATGAGCAAACTGGATCTACCCAAGGCGGAGCAGAGGCTGCATGCTTTGGCAAAGCAATGGAGCATGACTGTTCCAGTAGCCATGAAAATGTACAACAGTCGAAACGTCAGCCAACCAATGATTCTCTTGACAACTTGGTTTCACTATCTGCTGAACCAGAAATCCGAAATCTTGCTTGGTGGATTCTCTGTCGAGCATCCCCATTGCTCGCTACTTTTGGAAGCTTTCTGGCGAGCATATCAAGAGGAACAACCTACACACATGGTTTTTCGGCGGCATTCTCATGAGCTCTCCAAGTGCATACCTTACATGCTGTTTGGGGACGAGGGAAGGTCGCTCCGGAAGAGTCCAATACAAATCGTGTGCCTCGAGACGGTTTTTGGGCAGTCCACTTTCGACAACTATCGGAAGCTGTGGGAACAAGGCAAGCAGATAGATGCCGAAGCCTTGCTGGGTACAATGACTCACACTGGGAGGGGCTCCTCCTTTCTGTCCCGCATTTTACTTTATGCACTGCCTCATGCCCTGTACCGTTCTGACTCCGAAGGAAGCTACAAGCAGTTTTGGTATGACTGCATGGATCAAGTTTCCAGAGCTGCTGTCCGAGTTTTCGAGGATGGTATCCCTCACGCTGGCGGGCTGGGCACATTCTACGGTGTTTGTGTCGGCTTCAAGGGCGATGCGCCTTTTCTGGCTAAGGCTGCCCATCTCAAGAGGACTTTTATGTCTGTCCAGGGGCACAACAAGGGCATCTGCCCCTACTGCGAAGCGGGGACAAGTCACTTGGCTCGATTCGCATGCTCTTTCTGCTTTCGTTCGGTTCATATGATGGTATGAAGTCGTACTCGCTTGCTACATAGTTTAAAGGGTTTCCAGGGTCTGTATAGCTAATGCTAAAACTAGTAAGTTTCCGTTTGTATGGTTTAAGGTTTATAGGGTTTAGGGTTGAGGGTTTAGGGTTTATAAGTTTAGGGTTGAGGGCTTATAATAGGGTTTAGGGTTTATAAGCCTTTGTGCCGACAAACCTAACACCCCACAAGAAGACCACTGAATCTCCCTCCTTCCCTCGACTACCTTGATCCTAAAACCTAGATCACCCTGAAGCCTTCGAGCCCCGTAACCCGGGATTCCCAAAAGAGCTTGTGTAAACAACCCGGATCTTATCAGGATTCTCCTCTTGCAAACCTCGGGATACGAACACTAAAATTCGGAGAAAAAACACTAAAATTCGGAGAAAAAGCAGGTCCCGACATCCCCTGGGAAGATGTCGGGTCGGAACCAGTTTGGGTGCCGACTATAGGACGGTCGAGGCCTTGGAAGCCGAACAAGTATTCGTCCGTAAGATCCATACCTTTCACAACATCTTCGCCCGAGCAGCTGCTGCAACCGGACCTCTTTCACTTGGTCAAGCTGGGCATCGCCCGGCATTTTGCTGGGTCGTTCTTGGTGCTGGTGGCACACTGGGGCTACTTCTTCTGCGAAGGGAGAAACAGCTTTCCAGATGTTCTTGCAAGGATGTATACTGATTTCAGAGCTGCCTGCAAAGCCATGCACTTGACGCCGCACATCAAGGGCTTTACAAAGGACACCTTCCACTTCGTCAACTTCGAAAGCTGGCCCTGGGGTGGCTGGAAAGGATCAGACACTCTGCTGATTCTCCGCTGGATGATCCTGCTGCTCAGGCAGGGGTGTTGCTCTGGTGGGTCTGGTGGTGCAAGGACGTCTCCGTGGCTGAAGCACCCACTTGCAACTGATCATGCACTCGTGTTCAAGGCTGTTCATGATGGATGCTGTGCGATCTTGACTTTGTTTCAGGTTGCACAGAAGCAAGGGATCTGGCTGGACCGCCCTTCTGCTGTCCGGCTGCATTCCTCCATCGACTTGTTTTGCTCCTCGTACAGATATTTGGCCGGTCTATTCTTCACGCGAGGCCTGAATCGGTTCCACCTGGAACCAACTTTGCATCAACTCAAACACATTAGCATCCGCATACAAGAACAGCTGGCCAACGACGACATCGAGGCCATCCTAAATCCTGGGATGTATATGTGCGAGATGAGCGAGGACTTCGTTGGACACGTCTCCCGAGTAAGCAGGCGAGTGGCTGCTCGGAGCTGTGGTCTCCGGACACTCCAGAGACACTTGATCAGAGTGCACATGGTCTGGAGTGGTGAAAAGAAGAGAGCGAGTGCTCACGACCCCGAGGTTTGCAGAGTATCCACTTCCCTAAACCCTAAACCCAAAACCCTAAGCCCTGCACCCTAAACCCCTAAAACCTAAACCCTTCCCTTAAGATTTCTTGCCGAGTTTCGAATCCATTGCAGGAAGCCACAGCAGCTCTTCAGATTATGGGTTTCTTGAGGTTTGAGATGGTTTGGGTTTGGGGATCGTTCAGGGGCTCCCGGGATCTGAATGTCGAGGGCTGATTCGGCTTTGATGGTTTCAGTGCAATGCTTCGTCGGCTGATTCTACAACCACGACATCTATAACACAGGAATCAGCACATCGGCTAATATTCGAGCAAGAAAACATTGAGGCTGAAATAACAGCACAAAAGGGAACACCAGGTAAACCCTAAACCCTAAACCCTAAACCCTAAACCCTACCCTAAACCCTACCCTGAACCCTAAACCCTGAACTAAACTGCTTAAGCCAGCCCAAGGAAACGCCAAGACGGCACTGAGGAAGACCTTCCGCATGCTCTCAAAGACCTGGCGGTTTAGGGTTTAAAGGGGTTTAGAGGTTTAGGGTTTAGGGTTCAGGGTTTAGGGTTTTAGGGTTTAGGGTTTAGGGTTTAGGGTTTTAGGGTTTAGGGTTTAGGGTTTAGGGGCTAAGGGGCTAAGGGGCTTAGGGATTTGGGTTCTTAATACGTCTTTTAGAGGGCCCCCAAAAGAAGCACATCAGCACAAAAGCTGGGACAGAGATCTCCCCATAGTATAAAGCGCCTTGGCCATGAAGCCCAATGAGCTAGGGCTACCCTGTGAAAATTTTATGCCCTAAACCCTGAGCCCCTAAACCCTGAAGCCTCCTTCTGGGATCCCTATAAGTTGAGAGGTCCTCATAGGGCTTGGTAGCGGTTCTATAAGGGTTTTCTTACGGGGTTTAGGGTTCCAAGTTAAACGGTTTCTGATTCGGCTACGGGTTGGCGGATAACGGCTGAGAGTTGAAATTTTCGGGCTGTTCCATCGCACCGTGCTTATCACTGTGTTTTTGCTGGCTGCTGGCACTATTACTACGCCTGGCAGGGCTACTACGCACTACATACACGATCAGGCACCTCCGAATGATGCGAACAGTTATGTGCAATTCGAGACGAGCTTCATTTTGATGACGATCCTGGTGCTGGTCAAGATGCGAAACATAAGGGCGGCTCGCGAAAGTAATACCCGTGACTCGTGACCCTGATGACGAAAATGACTGTACTGAACAAGATGACGAGAATAATGTAGGGGCCTACATAATTACTAATACTATGTTGGGGGTTCTTTATTATGATTACAGTAGAATGGGCCCCAAAACCCTGTTCTAATTATAAAGGCCTCTATATCACGATACTGCGCGACCCTGTTCACCATTATGGTCCTGGTCATGATGATGGTGACGAAGGTGATAAGGGTGATGATGGTCATGATGCCTTAGAGAATCCAACAGAAGACGTACGCGCGTCCCTCTTCAAATGAAGGCTGTAAGCCTTTCTTAAACTAGGTTCCTGAGTAGCCCCTTAGCACCTATATGAGGGTACCCTTTTTCCTACTCTTTGCTTTTCATAAGGGAACCCAAAAAAGGAAAAGGGCAAAAGTGCCCCACTGGGGAACCTAGTAAAGCCCCAAACGATCTGCGTGCCTCGAAATACAAGCAGCTCGGCTTGTAGTCGTCGTAGATAAAGATGAGATGCCTTTCGGATGTTAAGCTCAGTTTACAGCAGGTCTTAAAATGGTCATATAGGCTTTAGGATTGGTTTTGCCCCAGACCCCAAACCCCCTTCTTCTTAAACTCTGCCGGGATGTCGGCGAGGACATCGCCGTTTAGAGTATCAGGTGGCTGTCAGGATTCTGGGCTTTTCTGTCACCGACTAAAATCTAAAATTTAGGTTGGGTACTGCCCCCATACAGTAACAGTCTATAATAGGGCTACTATTAAGGGCCTATTATATCCATAATATGAATATTATCCAACTGTTGCTGAGTGGGGGCAGTACCCAAAATTTAGGGTTGAGGGCTTGACCCTAAACCCTAAACCCGTGTTTGGGGCGTCTTCCCTGGAGCGAGGGGCTGGATTGACGTGTCGTCCTCGCGCTTCTTCATACCGGCCCAGTCTTTGCTGTCCTTGGACAGAAATCCTGGGCGGCGACGGAAACTTAATTATTCCTTTAGAACTCTAAACCGAAATAATTACGACAGAAATCCTGGGCGGCAACGGAAACTTAAGTATTCCTTTAGAACTCCAAACCGAAATAATTACCAGTGTTAGTCATTCCTTGGGGTTGCCTATGGTAATTATGGTATAACTTACCCCCAAACCCAGCGCCAGAACCCCCTGAAGCCTCTCTTCTATATAACCAAAGCGGACACCAAAACTCCGCACCCGATAGCCCAGACCATCCTTTCAGATGGAGGGTGTGAAGTTGGATGAACTCGGCTCGGAGATTTGGGAACGGATGCACTTGTAGTAGCAGAAGAGCATGGGGACATGTAGCGTGAGGTCTGTGCTGTGGGCGTCCTGGTTTTGAAGTTTGGGGGTTTAGGGCTGGGCCGGTCCAGTCTTGAGAGTTTACCATCGATCCAACTTGTTCGTGTGCTTTCTGAAACCCCATCACTTTTCGGCGGCGGTGGTGGTGGTGGTGGTGGTGGTGGTGGTGGTGGTGGTGCTGCTGCTGGTGGTGGTGGTGGTGGTGGTGGTGGTGGTGGTGGTGGTGGTAGTGGTGGTGCTGCTGCTGCTGCTGCTGCTGC